AAGTTGCACTCAGTATTCTTGGTTTTGTTTCAGAATTTGTCTTTATTGAAACTTTAAATACACATCAGCTCATTTTTGATGAGTTTATTCCAGGAACAGAGTGGCTGATAATGTGAGCTTCCTGTTGGTAGAACCAGATCACAGCTTTCTGCACAAATGAAAAGGATTTCACTGGCAGCTCACAGGAGTTGTTAAGGACCAACTCTTCACATAAATCCTGCTCACAACACCAGACAGCAGCTGGTGCTTATACTCTGATCGACTACACGGCTCCAAGTCGGCAGCGCAGCCATTAATTCGTGGCGTTTGATTTAATTCAAGTTCATTTAGAGACACAAAGTCAAAGAGCTGAAAACATACAAAGTTTTTAAAGTCTGAGAACAGCAGGGGTTTGTCATGATGTCTCATGTAAGGGAACTAATGATTATATCTATTACTAGTTAATCTGACACGTGGCATGTCCTTAGTTAATCATTTCATACTTGTTCTTGTCCTGAAGCTCAGTGTGTACATTTTGAAAAACAATATGTATGCAGTGAGACAATGAAAGAGGCGTTCATACTTTTTTTTTCTTGAGACGGGTCACGAATCTTTGAACCCTTAATGACAACATGCTGCTAGTTATCGTTAATTTTAACATTTGTCTGTTTTTACTAAAATCCTTGTCACAGCCAATTAGTGCGACAAAAAAAACACCAGAAAAGTCGACATTCCATCCTGAGCTTCAGTCGAGCTGTAACTATCTGGACAATATCCATACGAACAGGGGGTTTAACTGCTTCTGCTCCTTGAGTTTCTTTATTACCGCGGTGACGATCACAGTCAGTTTCCATTCCTCTGAAATTGTAGAGGAGTGTCTGATAGTGAATCCTGGGTTATGGCAGGACGGAGACGGTGCTCCCATTTTATCGGTCGTTTCAGGGTGTGTTGAGGCGGGTTGACGATTCGCTCTGCGTTTACTGAAGGTTCGGCTGAACTCTGCTCAATCCAAGATCTCTGTTATTGTTATGCAAGCTGCCTCTCCTTCATGTGAAATATAGTGTTGTTGAAAACAGGCAAAAAACAAAAATCCAGGAAGCAAATCAAAAAAGTAAAAGAGGACATGGAGTCACGTGGGCCCTCGTTTCATATTTATGTGAGCGAGAGTTTAGTTTCTCATCACAGTTTTCTTCTTTTACTGACACCGTGCTACAACAAATCGTTCCAAAATCAAACTCCCAGTTAGTCCTGTCTGATTTCAGATATATTCCGTGTGTTATATACGACATTAAAATACTTCAAACTCTCATAAATCAACACAGTATTAAAAACTAAAGGTTACGACAACTTCAACCAACAAACTGAACTGGGCTAGCAGAATTAGCTTTTCCTCTACAATCAAAGCTATGAACACAAGTTTTTATGTTATAAAAATGTAATTCTTCCAA